GTGATGAAGCCGTATTTAATATGATAAACTGTATATAAATTTTATCTATTGCAGAATTGCATATGTCAAAGAAGTTGATACAAAATAGTATGTTTTGTATGTTTATCTGTTTTTTATATACGTAACAAAATGTCTTATTTTTTAAGTAAATAAATAATCCCTCCAAATACCTGTGTTATTCTTTATCAATTTATAAATGATTGTATCTCCTTATATAGCTCCTTGATATCACAAATGAAACCATACAACACAGGAAATATCTTGTGCTTGATACTATAATTTATTATATATGTATATATATATGTATATGTAAAATATGTAAAATTATAATCTGTTGTTGTTGACTGAAATAAAACAAATTTCAATTTCAATATCTGCTGTCAATTAAAAAAACATTAAAAATCAAATAGTGATATTAGGCATGTACCACGATGAGCAGCTAATCTACTAAATTATAGAAAACATGCATTCATTTGCAAATATTACATTTTCTGATACCTTTCTAGAAATGTTAGCACTGGTTTATGTTTTATTGGTATCTAAGAACATTTGCAGTGTGGATTTCAATAACTCCATAAAGTCAGTAAATAGCAGCTTGAAATTCACTGCTAAATCTTTTTTAACTGCTTTTGCATCCAAGATGAAAATCATGTCACTTCTCAATTCTACGGATCATTACACAAGTGTGTCACAGGTTTTCCCTGATCAGCCATTGGTCAGTGAGTCTCCCATCAGTTCAATGTTAATGTTCCAATTGGGCGCAGTCAGTCAATCAGTCTGTGGACTACTCCCTCCCCTCCTTTTCTCACCCTCATCTCCTCTTGTGTGCTGTCCAGCTGGCTCTGACCCCTGACCTTTCACCCTCACTCCTGACCTTTGGCAACATTCCCACGCCACACCCTTTTGTGCACATCTCTCCAGCCTAAACCACTGGTCACTCCCTCTGAATTTTAAGAGATTATGGTGAAACATGATGCATTTCCACTGCGATCAGTGCAATGCAACCTAATTTGGCCTAATCCCAATTCAAGTGTGAGATGTGAAACTTACAAAGCAATCTGAGTGTGTGGAAAGTAACACAACAAAAAATACATCTAGTTATTTAGTCTAAAAACTATACATATAATGTTCAATAAATCTAAAATAGCAACTAAACATTGCAATTAATCAATGCAACCTCTGCAAAGTAGTGCAAGGTTTATCCAAAATTCATCCATAGATGTGGTCAGCAAACACACTTCAATTTGGACAATATTTTTGATATTCAAATGTAAGAAAATGTCATGTCTTCATGTCTTACTACCTGCCTTTGACTGTCCTATCTTTCCTCTCTCTCCATACCTTCTCTTAGTGTGGAGCCCTATGCAGATCCCTCCCTTCTGTCACTTTCACAGTTAATTGTAGAAAAGGAGATTTTCTTCATTGAACCCCAGTCTCTTAGGTAACCTCACTCCTGCATGAAATGAAATGGACATCGGTGAAGAGACAGAGAGGGGGGACAAGGGACAGGCAAAATGAACGAGAAGTAGTGGAAGATGGATGCAGAGGAGAGCGGACTTAGAAATATTTATTAAAAACACCCTCAAAAAGTAAGAAAAAATAGCTTAATGTTCCATGTGCATATGGATACATGATTAATAACAACTTCTCTGGGACTATAATTACTATATTGTTGATGGTGCATTATGTAAGTATTGGAATTTTTTTCACTTTATTTTTTTCACTTTAACTCATTAATAAGCTGGTTCACAGATTTAAAAAAAATGAATATTTAAACATTTTTGAAGCATTTTAGAGTTCAATACCAAATTTCTACTCATGGCTTATATTTTAATTATCAGTCTGCTGACAGGCTACAAATTTTTGAAATAACTCTGCACATTTTGTCATAGCTATTTTTCTATGTGTTTCAATTAATCTTCCAGGGTATTTTATCAAACCATCCACTGCAGGACTGAATCCCAAGCCTAAAGGTTGCTGTGACTGTTCAACCAAAACTTGACAGGGAGTCTGGTGTTGATTGTCCAAACGCAATTCTTGTATTTAATATCCATATCCAGGAGTTGTGGCTGGACATCATGCTCCCAACTCTCATTCTCTACCTCCTGCAAAGCGCAGAAGTCAACAGAGGAATTAACTGACTGTCCTAAGACTTGACTTCATGGTAACTGTTCTCCTGTTCTGTTCTGGATGACTCTCCATCTCACAAAGTTAACCAGTCATGACATGTATAGTTAGAGCAAGTGAAAACAAATAATGAACTCTAAAGGCCAAAAAATGCCCAAAAGATTTACTTTTTCAAGTGGACCATTAAGGCATTTGCTATAATGGTTCAAGTGATAGTCATGTTATATTTGAAATTTATTAGCATTTTTTATTTAGAGTTATAACAACCACAAGAACTTGGTTCTCAAATTAAAGTCACTTTTCGTAATTTCAGTCTCCAGAGGCAGGACTGTGGCGTATTTTTCTTTTCTTTTACAATTCTGTATAGAAGTCCGTGTTAATAAGCTCTGTAAGCTATTTAATTTGTTTTAGGAGAACATTATACTAACCTGACAAATTTAATGGGAATTAAGATATTCAATATTTACATGGATGTTTGTGTTTATATTTCCACAAGAGTCGTTTGTGCGAGTGAATATAATGCTGCATTAATGTTAAGTTGAACTTTTAATTTAATTCCATTGTTTGTATGTTTAAAGCTTAAATTGATCTAATAACTATAATAACGATGTTTAACATAGAATGTCACGATGTGCTTTGCTGACTTAGAAAATATATAATGAATGAAATATTTTCTTTTATCAAACTGTTTGTGTAGAAAAATAAAGTTTTAGATATCATCTCTGTCTTTGTCATTATTACCAAATTCAATTCAAAGTCAATTTGCAAAAGACTGGCTGTTTAAAGGGGAACGATCAATACACAAATATGGATCATGTACAGTGTTAAATGGGACACTTTAGTTATTATTAATAAGA